GTCTGCATTTGCAGGAAGCTGGAGTCAGGAGCCAGAGCGGGGGTCAGGACTTGTACCCCAGGCATGGGTGTCTTAATTGCTGGGTTAGGCTGGCACCACGGCTCAATAGGCTAATCCTCCGCCTGCAGCGCCGGCACCCTGGGTTCTAGTCCCGGTCAGGGTGCCAGATTTTGTCCTGGTTGCTCCTCTTCCAGTCCAGCTCTCTGCTGTGGCCCGGGAGTGCAGTGGAGGATGGCCCAAGTGCTTGGGCCCTGTACCCCATGGGAGACCAGGAGGAAGCATCTGGCTCCTGACTTTGGATCAGCATGGTGCGCCGGCTGCAGTGGCCATTGGAGGGTGAACCAACGGAAAAAGGAAGACCTTTTTCTCTGTCTCTCTCTTTCACTGTCCACTCTGCCTGTCAAAATAAATAAATAAATAAATAAATAAATAAATAAATAAAATTAATTGCTGGGTTAAATGCCTGCCCTGCCGGTTCGAGTCCCGGCTGCTCCACTTCTGATCCAGCTCTCTGCTATGGCCTGGGAAAGCAGTAGAAGATGGCCCAAGTCCTTGGGCCCCTGCAGCTGCATGGGAGACCCAGAAGAAGCTCCTGGCTCCTGGCTTTGGATCAGCACAGCTCTGGGCATTGCAGCCAATCAGGGAGTGAACCAGCAGATATATGACCTCTCTCTCTCTCTCTCTCTCTCTCTCTCTGTCTCTCTCCATCCTTCTCCCTCTCCCTTCTCTGTGTAGCTCTGACTTTCAAATAAATAAATCTTAAAAAAAAAAAAGCCTTCCTGTCCACAGCTTTCTGTACTTGTTACAGCAGTACTGCACTTCTCAGGATGAATTTTTTTAAAGATTTATTTATTTGAAAGACAGAGTTACAGATAGAGATCATCCGTCTACTGGTTCACTCCCCAAATGGCTGCAACAGGTCTCCCACATGCGTACAGGGACCCAAGCACTTGGGCCATCCTCTGTTGCTTTCCCAGGCCATTAGCAGAGAGCTAGATCAGAAGTGCAGCAGCCGGGATTCGAACCAACATTCATACAGGATGCTGGTGCTGCAGGCCAGGGCTTTAACTGGCTGAGCCACAGAACTGGCACTGCCCCCCTCCACCCCTGCCTCACCCAAGATACATTTTTATATCTTTTAACAAAAGACCACAAAAGACCAAAAAACCCTATATACAACAGAAATTTACTTTGCATAGTTGTGGACGCTGGGAAGTGTAAGATCAAGGTACCCAGCAAACTCAGGGTCAGGTGGCAGTTCCTCCTCCGTCTTGGGCTGGCATCTCTCACCGTGTCTCTCATGGCTCAAGGGGCACACTCCCTTCTGCCTCTGGGGGCTCCTCTGATACAAGGTCTTTCTGAGACCACATTGGCCAGGGATTGAACACCAACATAGGAATTTGAGGGGGTCCAGGGGATACCAGCATTGGGACCACAGCAGCTTTCTGGCTACAGTGGCAGCTCCGCCTCCTGTTCCCACTGGGCCTTTGACATCACTCCTTCCCTTTCCCCTCCCTGGCTTCCTGCTCTCCCAACAACACTTGGGACACCACTGTGCCTCGGGCTTCTGCCTTCAACCCTCTTCCTTTCCCCACCCTGGTCCTGGCTCTGTGCACACCTGCACCTGCGTGTCTGATATGGCAATGCCCGCCCCTCCAGCCTGACCCCCACAGAAGGGCATCCACCCACACACTCTTCACCCCACCCTGAGGGCCTGGTCTTTTCTCTGAATCCACTGTCGCTCCCACCTTGCTGGAGCCGGGTGGGCCCACTGTCCTCACCCGAGCAGCACGGTGGATCCTGCCTCCCCTCGGATTTCCAGCCAGCAGGTGCCAGCGTTGTGGCGTCGTAGCAGGTTAGGACGCTACCTGTGACGCCAGCATCCCATATGGACACCAGTTTGAGACCTGCGGCTGCTCCACCTCCGATCCAGCTCCCTGCAAATGAGCCTGGGAAAACAGTGGAAGTCCTTGAGCCCCTGCACCCACAGGGGAGACCTGGAAGAAGCTTCTGTCTCCTAGCTTCGGCCTGGTACAGCTCTGGCTATTACGGCTATTCGAGGAGAGAACCAGTGGATGGAGGAGCTCTCTCTCTCTCTCTCTCCCCTTCTTTCTCTGTAACTCTGCTCTTCAAATAAATAAAATAAATATATTTTTTTGACAGGCAGAGTTAGACAGTAAGAGAGACAGAGAGAAAGGTCTTCCTTCCTTCCATTGGTTCACCCCCCAAATGGCCGCTACGGCCAGCACACTGCGCTGATCCGAAGGCAGGAGCCAGGTGCTTCTCCTGGTCTCCCATGGGGTGCAGGGCCCAAGCACTTGGGCCATCCTCCACTGCACTCCCGGGCCACAGCAGAGAGATGGACTGGAAGAGGGGCGACCGGGACAGAATCCAGCGCCCCGACCAGGACTAGAACCCGGAGTGCCGGCCTCGCAGGCGGAGGATTAGCCTAGTGAGCTGCAGCGCCAGCCAAAATAAATATATTTTTTAAAGATTTATTTTATTTATTTATTTATTTGAGAGGAGAGTTACAGACAGTGAGAGGGAGAGACAGAGAGAGGTCTTCCATCCGCTGGTTCACTCCCCAGATGGCCGCAAAGGCCGGAGCTGCGCCGATCTGAAGCCAGGAGCCAGAAGCCTCTTCCGGGTCTCCCAAGCGGGTGCAGGGGCCCAAGGACTTGGGCCATCTTCTACAGAGAGCTGGATCGGAAGGGGAGCAGGCGCCCACATGGGATGCTGGCGGCACGCAGGTGGAGGATTAACCTAGTGCGCCACAGCGCTGGCCCCAATAAAATAAATCTTAAAAAAAAAACCAAAAAACAAAACCTGATGACCTCTCAGACACTCTGCTGGATCACAAATCCACGCCTTTGCTGAACGCGTGCCCTTCCTGCAAAAGCTTCCCTCGCTTCCCTAAGTTCTCTTCCGTTGAGTGGGGGAAGGTGGGACAGGGAGCCATCTGTCACCTCCTCCAGGCAGCCTTCCTGGAGGTTCTGGGAGGCGCTAAGACACCAGACTGCTAAGCGCCTCCTCACGGATGGCTGGAACCAGGCTTCAGGACTGGGAGTTCGATTAACTCCAGCAAACAGGAAAACGAACCCCTGTCGGCCAGGGAGGCGTGCAGAAGTTGTCTCCGACATGCAGCAGAGGGCGGGGGACCTCGGGGAGGCAGGGGGCGAGGAGGGGGCGTGACGGAGAGGAGGCGGCAGGGGCCGAATGGAGGAAGTTTGCAGCCTCGCCCTGGGACGTCCGTTCACTTCTTCACTCATTCATTCATTCACTCGTTCCGCTGCGCAGGTGCCAGGTGCAGCGACGCACACGGCCACCCCGGCCGTCGCCGCCCTCCGCGGGCAGAGCCCGGCACCCGAGCTGCCCACGCCTGGGAGGGGCGGCTCCGAGCCGCAGCGCCCCTACACCCTTCCGCCCGCCCCCAGCGGGGGCACCACGCTCCCTGCTCCCCAACCCCGCCGGTGCCCCTGCCCCGCCGGCGCGCCCTGCGCCTGCGCGGCGCACCACGTGACGGCCTTGGCCCCGCCCCCGCCCCCGCCTCCCGCGAGTGCGGCCTCGGCTTGCGGCGGCTCCAGGTCAGCTGTGAGGCGTGGGCCGGGCGGGCCGAGCGGGCCGGGCTGAGGGGAGCGCGAGCGGCGGCGGGCGCGCGGGGCGCGGGGCGCGGGTTGAGCGAGGCGCGCGAGCGTGCAGGGGGGCGGGCGCGGGGCCGCAGATGCGCGGGGGCGGCGGCCTGAGGTGAGCCGGGGACCCTGACGTGGCGGCGGGGGAGCGGCCCGAAAGGGACCCCCGAGGCTGGGGCTCGGGGCGGGGGGGACTCGGCGCGGATGCGGGGCCCACCGGCCTCTTCGGCCCCGGGGTCGGCGCCTGTCACCCGCAAGGCGATGCTAGTGCGGCCTTGGCGGCGGCGACCCTCGGCGCTGGCGCCGGCGGGTCCTGCAACAGGCGGGTGTGTCGTGGCCAGGCCGCCGCGGCCACCAGGCGTGACCTCGGACCTCGGCCTGAGAGCTTCCCGGGAGGGGAGGGGAGGGGAAGGCAAGGGTCGCAGGGCCGGGGGTCGCCACCGTGGCAGCCCAGCCTGGCCGGGTCGTCCGGCTTCTTCAAAGAAGCCGGAGATAGCGCTGTCAAAGTGCAAAAATCGCCCGGCCCGGAAGCCTCAGCCGCCAAGGTCTATTTTCGATCCTGGGCGGGCCGAACCGATCCGACCCGACCCGGGTGGGCGTGTGGGGGGGCGCTATCAGCTTCTGTCCCGGGCTTCTCCGTGCGGGGCCCAGGCTTGGGCGCGCAGGGACGCACGCTCCAAGTCCGCTTTTTCGGAGCGCGTCCGAGTCGGCGCCACTTTGGAGCCTTTGCCCCACCTCCCCACCCCCTCCCCGGAAATTAGGACCCACTTCCTCGTCTCCTTTGCCTGCGTTGCACTTCTTGCCTCGTGTCGCCAAGCATTGGGGTGCAGCCACTGCTCTTTGTGGGGGCGCCTTCGTTAACGGACGGTACTGTTGGGGTGAGGGGCTCTCTCTGCAATGCCGTCGACTCTCATGCCTGAGTTCCTAACATTCCGCTTGTCCCTGCTTGGAAGGAACGTAAAGCTCTCTTTGGGCCCCCCTCCCCCGAATCTGAACTGCACGGAGTGGGGAGACCTTGCTTACGTCGTCGGTTAGAGTCGGGCTGCTAAGGGCCCCGAGGGGGCGGGGCACTTCATCCGCGGACAGGGCTTCAGGATGGAGTAACTCCGGCGGGCCAAAGAACGCGTTGCTAAGAACGTTCTACTTTATCTTCGAAAAGCAGGCGTGGGAAAGGATATGCCTTGTTCCCTTCATCCTCTCCTGGTAGAACTAGTGTCCCTTACAGAAATGCAGTTACACTCCGAAATGCTTGTTTCTCATCCAAATCAGCACAGATTAGAAAGGCACACAGTGGGTGAGGTAGACATTGGCCTCCCTCCGGTTCGCCTGCTTTGCTGCTGGGGATGGGGTGGGGCGAGGCGGGGCTTTCTTTTATCTAGAAACTTTTCGTGGGATGGCACAGCTAAAGGGCTTTTAACCTACAACTGCTTGCAGTCGCAAACAATTGGAGGAAACCCAGATGTCGCTCTAGGACTGGTTAAATAAAACGTCTTTATCTATACAGTGGATGGTGGGAGGGATATGAAGTTCCATGAAAAAGCTAGTGAATACCAGGACAGGGGGCTGACACTGTGGCTCAGCAGGTTAAACTGGCATTGGCTAAACTGTGCCTGGTTTGAGTCCTGTCTGTCCTGTGCTTCCCACCCAGCTTCCTGCTAGCGCACCTGGGAGGCAGTGCTCCCACTCACACGGGAGACCCAGATGGAGTTCTTGGCGCCAGGCTTTGTCCTTGGCGCAGCTCCTACTGCAGCTCGCACTTGGGGAATGAGCCAATGGATGCAAGATCTCTGTCTCTCCCTCTGCCCTTATCACTCTGCCTTTCTAACAAATGAATAAATCTGGAAAAGAAGAAGGGAGTAGGGGAGGGATGTTGGGATTTACAACAGTTGCCTGAGACTTTATAGATGCCTTCTAGAAGCTTCCTCTGGGAGAGGATCTGGAGGGGCAGAGCCTGGACAGTTGTAAGTTTTACAACGGACATTTTACTGCCTCTTGAATTTGAGTCATGGATGTATTATGACTTAAAAATATGTTTGATGATTTCTTACTAAACACATAACATTGACAGGCAAATATAAGGAGTAGCAGATCCTTACCAGTGTTTTATGTACTTTTTTTTTCTTTCTGGAGATAGTCATGACCCTGCATTTGACATTTATTGTTCCTATAAATGTGTTTGTACTGTTTTATACCATAATATCCTCCTTGCATGCGATCTTGAATATTATTGTTTTGCTGTTTTTTTGGACTTCATGTCAACAAAGTTGTCTTGTACCTGTCCTGGCATTTTCTGCTTTCTCTCTCCGTAGCTTTGAGATTCTCCCACTCCACGGCTAAAGCTTCAGTTCTCAGCTGCTCATTTTAACTGCTGTGTTCTGTGAAGTCATGGACCCCAGTAGGCCTATTCCCCTGTGGATGAGTGTCTTCTGTGGGGGTCTTCAATGTTTTGGCACTCTGTGCCACTGTGGTCGGTCCATGATGGCAGGGAATCGGCTCGCTTTTCTTCACAGCCCCTCAAGCACCTACCGCAGGGGTGGGAACTTCCAGCCAGCCCAGGCCACATTCGGCCAGCAAAAGCATTTGGTTTGGCTCTGCCAAGGCAGCCACAGGCGGGACTCAAAAGTCAGTAACTCTCTAGCAAGCTAATTTTTAAGTTGATAATTTTGTATGGCCCACAAATGATGTTATAAATATCCCAATGGCCCTCGGCAGAAAAAAAAAAGATTTCCCCACCCCTGCATAGCTGAAGTCCTTAAGTTGTACTTGCCAAATGCGCTCTGCCTGCCCAGGGAAGGAGTCCTTGGATGTCCTGTACTGTCGCTGGCAGTGGGCACTGAGGGAGCAGCAGCCATCCATCCCTTCCCAGCTGTGCTCGCAGGGCTGGGAACGTCCAGTGGTCATGGTGATGGTGATGAGGAAGTTGAGGTTTAGAGATAGGAACCAGGTGCCCAGAGGCTATGGTTAGTTAGCAAATGGTGACGCCAGCAGCTGTGGGGGCTTTGAGATGCGTTAGGAGATAGTCTCAGCACTCCCTCCTGGGGGTGGGCAGGTAAGACAGACTCCGTGTTTGTTTTGCTCTCCATATGGTGCTGGTGAGAAATGATTGGGCTGGACCTTGACCAGTACCAGGCCTAGGAGGCAGGCGGAAGGTGTTTAGAGGACGATGGGTGTCCCTTTTGGTCTGAAAACTAGACACAGGCAAGGGAAGGAAGGCTCAGGTCACAAGGGGCCCCACCCAAGCAGGAGGCAGTAGAGCCAGGGCACCCCGCCCTCCACCCCCAGGAGGATGAGAAAAGAGGTCAGGAAATGTGTTAAGGGGTCTTGGGGGGAGGTAGGGGGTGGCTGAGACAGAGAAGGACTCAGAACTGGAGGGTCTGTTAGCTGACTAAGACCTTGAGGTTTCCCATGTGGATGTGGTAGCTACCCCAGTGACAAAACTGGCCTGGTTGGGAGGGCTCGTGCCTGGACTAGGCCCTGAGCTGGAGGTGCACCCTGGAAATGCAGGCTTCTGGGCAGAAGCAGGGTGTGCTGGGTAAAAGGAAGGGCTCAGAAATTGGCACAGGCCGAGTTTGCAGGCAAGAGAGAACCACCAACAGAGGTGGTCAGTGGGTGATAGACCTCAGCTTGGGCCATCTCGGGGGGCCTTGGCGGGGAAGGGTGGGTGGGCAGAAATCTCCAGTCGTTAGGCTGACTGAGGAGGATTGGGTGTGTTGGCTGGGAAGCAGTAGAGAGCCCAGAGCAAACAAGTACGGAAAGCGGAGAGGGGCAGAGGGAGAAGGCGGCGGCAGATACTCATGGCCCTGTGGCTGGCTGGCGGTGCTGTGGCTTACAGCATGTGTGGCTCAGCCACACCCTGAGCTGGGGCAGCTGGCTCTTGGCAGTTGCTTTTGCTTGTTTTAGAGTCTGTGTTTGCAGTAGGTTTTTTCACTCGCTGGGTTTCCGAGGCTATCATCAAATCAGTTTGCATTTATTATTATTGTTGTTGTTTTTAGCGTGCAGACTCAATAGAAGGTAACCTTGAATTTAAGTCACAGTGTACATGATCTTGCGTGCATACTATCAGAGTCTTTAAAGAACCAACCTTCCGCTGGCCTCTGCCTCCCAGGCCAGGGTTCCACGGTTGGAACTTTTCCCTGGGTCCATGTCTCCTGACCAGCACTCAGGCCTTGCTGTTATGTGTCCATTCCTGTCGGGGGACCCAGTTTTGTTCTTTCTCAAAGGGAGGAAGAACTCTTGCGAACCTGGTATATTCTGGTGCTTTATGGTCATTGCCTTAGGAATTTTCAACTATTTTAATTAGATTTTTTAAAAATTATTTGAAATACAGAGAGAGCTCTCCCATCCATTGGTTTACTTCCCCAAATGCCCACAGCAACCAGGGTGGGGCCAGGCCAAAGCTGGGAACCCAGAATCCCATCCAGGCCTCCACACACGGGTCAAGAACTAGAGCCCATAACCTGCTGCCTCCCTGGGGGTACAAGGACAGAGAGCTAGAATCAGTAGCAGAAGTGGATCTCAAAGGCAGGCTCTTAACCCCTGCTCCAAAGCCTGCCGCTATCTTAACTAATTTTAGAACCCCCGGTGGGGTGGGTCCTTTCAGCTCACTTCTTTATAGCTGAGGAACCTGAGGCTCAGCTGGCTCCTGTTGTGAGCCCTGGGCAGGGCAGGGCAGGGCTAGGCCGGAGTGGAGTCAGTCCTTATCAGTCCGGTGTCTCCAGGCCACTCGGAAGGAGATGAGATAAAGAGTCTTGGAGAGAAAAGGACACAGTCATTGTGAAGAAGTGCAAGTTTAAACCAGAGGTGGGAAGGCGGCACTGGGAGCCCAGGAAGTTTGAGATCACAGGGAGAGCTCAAGGGGTGGAGGAGGTGCTGGCCGCCGTCTCACTCTGTGCCCTCTGTCCTCTCAGCTGACGGGCCGGCCGCGGTGGTGTGGGCTCTGGAGGCCGTCAGGATGGCGGAGGAGCAGGAGTTCACCCAGCTGTGCAAGCTGCCATCGCAGCCCTCGCACCCGCACTGCGTCAACAACACCTACCGCAGCACGCAGCACTCCCAGGCCCTGCTCCGGGGGCTGCTGGCCCTCCGCGACAGCGGGATCCTCTTCGATGTGGTCCTGGTGGTGGAGGGGAGGCACATCGAGGCCCATCGCATCCTGCTGGCGGCGTCCTGCGACTACTTCAGGTAAGCCGAGCTGCTTTGGTCTGTCTCAGGAGAGTGACCCCGTGACCCTGGCTCCATGACGGCAGCCCGGGGCTCCCGCTTGCCTTGGAACTTCTCGCACCTTCCCTGGCCACTCAGTCAACAAGCCTGAGACGGAGAGAAAGGGTCCTTAGAGTATTGCTGTGAGCCACGCAGTCTCTTGGGTATGCTCTTTTTATTTATTTATTAAAAGATAATCGTGCTTAGCTTTACTTCTAATACTGCTTTTCTTTTCTTTTTTGTAATAAAACGAAGTTTCTGCTCCAAGTACAGTATGTTGGTGTCAAACTGATTTTCTTCCTACTTTATCCTGGGGTTCATCCCCACCGCCTCAGTATTGTTCGGAAAAATGTATGATCTATGGACGTCTGCAGAATAGCGTGATGAACACCCAAGTCCCAGTTGTTAACATGTTACTGCATTGCGCTCTCTTAGTGCTCCCGCACTTTTTTTTTTTTCTTAAAGATTTATTTATTCATTTGAAAGTCAGAGTTACAAGAGAAAGAAGGAGAGGCAGAGAGAGGTCTTGCATCTGCTGGTTCACTCCCCATTTGGCCACAGTGGCCGGAGCTGTGCCGATCCAAAGACAGGAGCCAGGAGCTTCTTCCTGGTCTCCCCTGTGGGTGCAGGGGCCCAGGGACCTGAGCCATCTTCCACTACTTTCCCAAGTGATAGCAGGGAGCTGGATCGGAAGTGGAGTAGCTGGGACTCGAACCAGTGCCCATATGGGATGCCTGCACTGCAGGCGGTGGCTTTATCTGCTATGCCACAGTGCTGCCCCCCCTCCTTTAAGGACCATGACACTTTACCCCCAAGGTCTCTCAGCACCAGGCCCACCCCGCCATAGCTCTAAGGCCAGCCCTGGCCACGCCTCTGGTACTGTGGGGTGCTGAAGCCGAGCCGGGTGATTATTCCCGTAGATGCATGGATGTGTCGTGTTTGGACCCACCCCTTCCTTATCCACCTTCCAGGTCACAGGTCTCTTCCCTCATGGCAACTCTGTGGCCACTGTGGGGTTTCTTGCGGCCACAGATCCTCAGCTGTGATATTCTAGTTCCATTTCTCCATTTCTGTTCATTTTGTCTTCCTGGCTTGGTTGCAGTTCTGATTTTTAGGTTTTTTTTTTTTTTTTTTTTTAGATTTTAAAGATGATGCCTGCATGACATCATCCTGGGGCTGGAATCTGTGTCAGGTCCTCATGCCTAACATGTTGTGAGGATGGGCTCTCCGGACAGACAGAACCAATAGAAGGTAGATAGATAGATAGGAAGGAAGGAAGAGATGTGTTAGAATTAGCTCATGTGACTTTGGAGGTCACACAACAAACCACATGCAGGCTGGAGACCCCAGGATGCCGGTGCTGTGGCCTGAAGGCCCCTGGAACCAGGGAAGCAGGTGGTGGCACGCTGGGTGTGAGAGCTAAGGCCTGAGAGCCAGGAGGCAGCCGATATCCAAGGGCCAGAGAGCATGGAGTTCTGATACTCAGAGAACAGAAGAGAGTGTCCGAGCTTCAGGAGAGAGAGGGAATCCTTTTCTCGCCTTTCTGTTCCGTCTGGGCTCCCAGCTGACTGGTTGGTCGTCTTCCCTGGAGACAGTCTCATGGCCACGCCTGATTCCTTAACCCAATTCCGCAATCCAGTCAAACTGACGCCTAAAATTAACGATCATAAGTGGCTGTCACAGATACTCAGACAGTACCCATGGCTTAAGTCAATACTTTTTCACTTCACGGATACAAATCAGGATATCATTTCCTGCATGGTCTGCACTGCTCTGTACCCCACGGAGGTGGTGCCACTCCCCTCGCTTCACACCGTGGGATGGGACTCGTGGCAGGCGAGCAAGCCTGGGCCTCAAATCCTTAGTTGTGATATTCTAGTTCCATTTCTCCATTTCTGTTTGTTTTGTCTTCTGGGCTTGGTTGTAGGTCTTGTCTTTTCTTTTTGTGAAAGATTTTAGAAACTGGGGCCAGTGCTGTAGCATATTAGGCTAAGCCTCTCCCTGCAGCACTGGCATCCCATTTGGGCACCGGTTTGTCTCCTGGCTCCTCCTCTTCTGATCTAGCTCTCTGCAGTGGCCTGGGAAAGCAGTGGAAGATGGCCCAAGTAAGTCCTTGGGCCCCTGCACCTGCCTGGGAGACACTAGAAAAGCTCCTTGCTCCTGGCTTCTGATAAGCCCAGCCCCGGATGTTGCGGCCATTTGGGGGGTGAACCAGCAGATGGGGGACCTTTCTCTGTGTTTTACCCGCTCATTGTCTGTACTCTACCTCTCAGATAAATAAATAAAAATATTACAATATATTAAAAAAGATTTTAGGAACTGTCCAGCAAAACTTTTCCTTATGGTTAGATGCCTCCTGAAAAGAGTTTACGGGGAATGCGACCCAGTAGTGGCTTGCTATGGACATATCCATGGGCAGCAGTGTCCCTTTAGTTTACTGGGCTGGGGGGGTGTTCAGCTGAGGCCTTTCCCCTCCCCTGAATTTTATTTTTAAATTTATTTGAGAAGAAGAGTGAGCAAAAGAGAAGAGAGATTCCCCATCTGCTGGTTCATGCCCCAAATTCTTGTAACAGCTGGGGCCAAAGTCAGGAGCCACGAATGCAATCCACATCTCCTTAGGTGGGTGACAGGAAGCCAGTGACCAGAGCCATCACTGCCACCTCCCAGTGTCTCTCGTAGCAGGAAGCTGGCATTGAGCCAGAGCCAGGAATCAAACCCAGGCACTGAGAAGTGGGACACGGGCATCTTAATTGCTAGGCTAACTGCCTGCCAGCTGGGGCCTTTAATAAGCTCTAAAATAACATCCTGGGCAGTGGGCAGGGTGGCGGTACTGGGAGCCGATGTGGGGGATGTGGGGCCATACACTGGGGCTCACTCGGCGTAGGGACCGACAGAGTGAACGCTTGTGCAGGAGAGGCTGGCCGGGGCCAGATGGCCTGTGAGATCGATCTCCTGGGCTTCCCCTCGCACCCCTGGGGCCCAGACCCCGCTGCTCACGTAGGCCGTCCTGACTCTAGATCTCACCTAGCTTCCCAAAAGGCTGGTGTGGATGCTGCCTTTCTCTAATTGGTCCGAAGCCTCCTGTGACTTTCCACAGCCTTCAGGAGTGATTCCTAGCCCTTGCCACACCCCCTCAAGGTGGACCTCTCATGGGAGGTGCCCCACTGTCTGACATGGTCACAGGGTGTGGCTGACACTCCCTCTCCTCCCTCCACCTTTGTTGGAAAGCAGGGAGAAAGAGTGACAACGCTGTTGGGAGAGCCCAGACTGTGTGTGTGTGTGTGTGTGTGTGTGTGTGTAATAAAGCAAGTGTTCCTAAGCTTTAGCACATTTATTACTCATTTTAGTGATCTGATTCAGGGTAACATGATAAAGAACCATTTTCTTCCCCAGTAAGACTGGTGAAGCTGTGAAATGTTTGTAATGTCTGCTGGCGGCCAAGGGCAGAGAGAAGGGCGTTTGCCCGGGCGTCGGGGGTGGCTTGGTTCCCAGCCCAGGGCCCTGTGGCTGGCTATCCCATATCTGTCTGCCCAGGTGGCTGGCCTGTGGGACCACACTCTGGTGCCTGAGGCATGAGGCAGGGGAGCTGAGAGTGGCCCTTCCATGCTGTGGTGTTGGGTGCAGGGGCTTACAGGCAAGGCTGGTGGTGCCTGCTGACAGGGACCCCGTGGAAGATGCTCCCACTGGGATGCATGCCGAACTCTGGAGATGACAGGAGCGGGGAAGGGAACCGAGGCTCCCCGCTCTACCCTTGACTGTGTTGTTTGAGTTACTGTTTTACAAAGAACAGGAGCTGCTTCTGCTGCTGAACACCCCCGAAACTGGTTAGAGGCGCTGCTGTAGAACCCCCAAACGGAGTCCACTCACCTGACACGCAGCAAGCCAAGCCCTGACCAGGGTGTGGAGAAAGCAGATGTTTATTACAAACTCAGAGCAGGAGGCAGGCAGCCAACTGCTCAATTCCCCAAATGCCCCCGAGGGAGTAAAGGCAGAGGCTTGCGGGCCTCTGGCTGGTTCTTAGTGTGTGTGGCCTTCCTTTGACAGTGTGCTCCAGCTGTCTCAGGCCTGTGGGGCAGATGGGTTGTCAGTTTCTTTGATCAAGGCCTGTGAGTTCCGGAAAAAAACATCTTGGTGAAGGTCTAACACCAGGACATCAGCTCTAGGGGTGATAAAGAAATTCCAAGGCCTGCAGTCTGGGAGTCCTGCCTGTGAGGTTTGCAAAAGCTCTCAAAACAGAGTCTTGGATTGAGATGCTGGGGTCGGGGTGGGTGGGTGATGGGCCCATCTGGCATCCCACATTGGAGGGCCAATCCACTTCCTGCTAACGCACCTGGGGAGGCAGCAGAGGATGGCCCAAGTGCTTGGGCCCCTGCACCCATGTGGGAGACCTGGATGGAGTTCCTGGTTCCTGGCTTCAGCCTGGCCCAGACCTGGCTGTTGAGGCCATGTAAGGGTTGAACCCATAGATGGACGATCTCTCTCTCTCTCTCTTTCTCTCTGCCTTCCAAATAAATAAATCTTTAATGCTACTGGGGATGGGGCTGGTTATGCTTGTGAGATGCAGGATTTTACTTCCTGTTTGATGCTCCTTACTGCTGGCAGGGAAGCCTTGTGAGAACGGGGCTTGAGGGTACCAGGCCCTCTGGGAGCCCCTTCTTTTCCAGCCTCTCCTCCCCCAGTTTGCCTGGCATTCTCTTCAGCCACAGCCAGGTGCTCACAGCTTCTTTAGCCTCTGAGTCCTTGCTGTTTTCCTCCAAGCCCTGATTGCACTTCTTGCTTTCCCTGCTGTGCAGAATGTTATTTTTCCTTCAAGGCCCATCCCAACTACCTCTTTTGGGGAGCCTTCCCTAATTGTCCCTTGTCTTTTGCCAACCCTGGGGGGATATCAGCCTCATCCCTGCTAAATGCTGCTGGCCCCTGGAGGGCAGAGAGTCATATTGCCCTTTGCCTTCACCTGGGGGGATGTGGGGGCACCCCCTTCA